TCGCGGTGCAGTTCACACTCCTGTTGTTGCCCAGAAACTGGATGTACCATTTCATTGTCTTCATCGTCCCCCGAGTAGTGAGTATCAAGACCAGGTGGGACACAAATAGTTCTACGACGGATCCAGGCTCGGAGTCAATGTACTTTAGCCAGGCCAGACGAGTCACAGCAATCCTAATCAATACTTGGTATCTATCTCGATCCGCATCCAATGAATGCACACTTAAGCTCAGAATTTGTAATGATCAGCACAAAACCGACAGGCTGGATGAGCTCTGATCACCCTTGTGCCACAGTCAGTGCGTGTATGAATATCAGAGCGTAGTATATCTGCGGGAGCACGGAATGTACCATAGACTGAGTGGCTGCCCACTAGTTCCCATCAGAAGTGATCAAGTAGGATTCTCCATAAACAACTAGGCAATTTTCGTAGAAATATATTGGTAGATCAGGGGTCCCAGCTGCAGGCGGGATCTACACCTTGCATATGGAACTAGACAGTGGCGTCTAATCCCGACTATCTATGACAAATTAAAGTACTTCTGCACATCAAGATCGAATCTTGCAGATGCATACACCCTCCCCGATTTGATCTATCGCCAGAGCGTCCATATCCCGTCTTCTCTTGGCCAGACAACGATCCAAAGAGCTACTGAACGCAAAGAGACGGTGGGCAAGCCGACTGTGGCCGAAGTTCATTCTACTGCAAAAACCACAACAATGAGAGGGGCGGAGATATATCAAGGCTGACCACCAATCTGCATAAAGACAAACGTCTAGATAGATCATGCAAGAAGTTCAAAAAAAATGGTCCCTACGAGGGTCGAACTCGCGACCTTGGCGTTATTAGCACCACGCTCTAACCGACTGAGCTAAAGGACCTAATCGCTGTGAGGGTCGGGCATTTTTGGCTAAATAAGCAGGCCAAAGTTACCGCATCGAATTGAATTTAAATACGGAGTAGTCGAGTTCCAGGACACATGGCCCGACGGTAGGTAGTGATGTTGAGAAGTTCGGCATGCATCGCGATTAGACTCTATATTTCAATATACGAAGGTAGAAGAAATGCGGGCATCGTGACAAGTCAATGTAGGCAGCACAAAGTGATCCAGCAGGCCTCGATTTTGTCTAGTAAGTCCACTCACTTCAATTTCAACATCTTCAATTACCAGCAAAGCACATCGAGACCCATACTAAGGGTAAAAAATCCAAGTCCAAAAAATTGGTCCCTACGAGGGTCGAACTCGCGACCTTGGCGTTATTAGCACCACGCTCTAACCGACTGAGCTAAAGGACCCATTTCTTGGGAGAGTTTCGGGGATTTTAATTACAAGAGCCAGCCTGACGGTAGGGGCTTCCGAATCAACCTCAAATGTAGCAGGGTCGCTCGCTGAAGGTTTCTCTACACCTATAATTTCTCCGATGGAACGACCAGATGCAAGCTGATAGTACTCCTAGCCGTCTCTGAAGGAATCACCGTGCAAGCTCGTGCGTAAGTAGTGCGCCAATCATGATCGCCAATTCTGATCTCAGGATGTATTGGCCAACATTGGCTGGACACCCTTGCGACTGACTCGCATCCATTTCTGACGGAAACAATCCATGGCAATGGGCCAATCAATATTCTGAAGACGCTGGTGCTGACTCCATCATTGATACGTAGCAACTCAAACACGCCGTCGTGTTTGGAGTCACTATTTTTGCCCCCTTTCCACAGCAATGGTCAAACAACACCGGGGTTTCCGTTTGCTGCGGCCCAAGCTAGCGGATCCATTAGTATCCGACGTGGCAATATGCAATTTGGTTGTCCCCAAGAGATATTGAACGGTGTCCTCGTGACCATTTGAGTAGCCTATGACAGCGGTGTGAGGCTATCATTGTCTTTGGAATCGCGCCAACACTGCCAGAGCTCGATGAACACACTCAGGGAAGCCTCGTGACCATTGGTAGCGGCACAAGAGAGCGGCGTTTGTTCTCATGTCAGACCGCGCTCCGCACTGAAGCAGCCTCACAACAGGGTGGTGGTCATGCCTTGGAAGCGGTCTCTTTGCATCGAAATCAGCGTCTCATCCCGCTCAGCAGAGACACTGTTTGCTTCCTGACTCAGTCACAGTGACATCTGCTCTGTGAGCGAGGAGTGGTCTGATGGATGTAGTATGTCCAGCCGCCGCAGCATATGAGAATGCCGTGCTTCCGTTGCTATCATTAGTTTCGGAATCAGAATCATCACTAAATAAGAGGTGAATGATACCTGTATGTCCGTTCGTAGCTGCCTAGGGTGAGGCGTTTCACCCTTGGCCGGCGCTGGCATCCAGCGAATGCGACGAGAGTACAGTTGACACCAATGGTGTTTATGCGTCCAGTGTCTTATCTGGGTGACGATGCGGCCAGTGAGACAAGTTTCATGGTGAATGATTCAGTTGAATGTTTCGTAGGATAGATGTGTGGCGATGGACCACTGTTAAACACATAGGTTTTCCAAGTACTGCATGCCAAGACGTATGCATAGTAGTTCAACTGAACACCTATTTTGTTTTGGGACATAGAGACAAAAAAAGCGGACCTTTCTCCACCAAGGTCCTTTAGCTCAGTCGGTTAGAGCGTGGTGCTAATAACGCCAAGGTCGCGAGTTCGACCCTCGTAGGGACCATCTTTTTGCTCCTTGTCCTTTAAGGACAGAAATCCTCAGTACTTCTTTTTTGAACTCTATTCTTGCCTCGGACATGACACCAGCCGGAATCTATCCAATTCCCACAACAAGATCCTTCGTTCTCGGACCCAATAGTCCATAGTCCCACCGATCAATTCCTGTTCTAGAACCCTCAACCGCAGCTCTGGGACCGGATGTAGTTCCCCGGCTCTAGCGCAAAGATGGATCCTCTCTATGTGGCTTATACAAGGTCAGTATGTAGAGAGATAGTTCCTTCTTCATCTACGGAGTACTCCGTACTTCTTGTAGATTCAGACGTACTTATTAGTAAAATCCATGGCGTCCTGCATTTGAACTCTATCTCATGCAAGAAACTCATGATCCAGGTCACCGGGTGGGTGATCAAGAGGAGGATCATGCAGATCCATTACTTGACGCCGCCAATCCTAGTACGAAGTAATTTTGTCAATTGAATATGAGTCCCGGAGCCATGCATGATGCCACCTTATCTACTCCGTACCATTCCAGAGTACCCTGGGGCCAGTGGATACCTAGTGGACACCGGATGCTGGACCGGCATGCAGCAATCTTTTCACCTTCATCATGATAGGTGGGTTTTGTATTGTTTTGATCGATGTGCTCAGGCATGCATTTCCTTGCATACAGTCCGATACAGGTTTCCTGGAATTAGTGGGCCTGGGACTAGATACGGAGTGATAGAGTCAGATTTGGTGGCTTGTATTCACTCTCCACCAGTATCTTCCCACAGGGATGTTTGACGGAGTGGCTGGGAATTGATACTTTTCAAGAGGGATCGGCAGTGCAGAGTATTGTGAGTGTCTATTGTGCTACTACGGGATTAGGAATGTCGTGGTGTGGCAAATTAGTTAGTCCTGAAGATTATGGGAGGCCGGGAGCATCATTACGCGATTGCCTCACTGCCACTAGTACTAAGGTACTAGTAAACTTCTAGTAGTTTGGATTTGAGGTCTTTGAGGTGTAGAAAGTGGAGAGTACTCCGTAAGTCCATTCGCAATGACTACTCTAAATCAGGAAAACATCTGAGAGGCTGGAAACTCAAGAAAGTCAACAAGGTTTATCAGAGCTATTTGGTTGGGTAAACTCACCTAACCTTCCCTGTCGCAATACAGAATTCTTTACAGTACCTATCCAACAGAACTCGCTGCAAGGATTCAAGCAAATAGTAGTTGAAGATTTTAAATATGTCTGTCTCACAGCTGACCGTTATCATGCTTTAGAATGATTCAAAATTAGGAACTAGTTATGCAGTGTGCAGGAAGCAGATTGCCTCCTGGGTCGGGGTCTGAGAGTTCACTGGGGAGAAACCTGCGAGCATATATGTGCAGATTACAGAAATTAACAATGAAAAAAATTGTTTGCTATTATCTCGTTTGCGAGTTGCGACTTGCAAGTTCGTCAGTCATTGGTTTATGGAGGCGATTGGTTTCATCGCCAGTCATCCATCAATAGGTACTCTGTCGTCTGCGGTGACGGCGAATTACTGCATCCGGGTATAGCGCGCCTAATCGGGGAAAGCGCTTCGCTGCCGCTTGGCGTTGATGTGCGTGGTCTATATAGATGTTGTACTGTAATGGCACCAGCTACTGCTGTTTGCCCAGTATGAAGGGGGATGGTGGAGTTTTCTGGATTGGATGTCGAGCATCCAGGCTGGTTGACAGTGTCACTTTGAGCGCTTATCAGACGATGCTTCCTGTTACCTAAAGCGAACCCATGTTCTCAGCGATGAACAAGCCTAGTAGCGTCAAAGACCTTGGAGAGATAATGGACAGACTTGATTGAAGTTGAGGATTGACATGAGGTTGCATGACTGAAGTAGAATTAGATCTATGGGCGGAGTTATATAGAACGATCTCACGGACTAATTCACTGCGAAAATAGACCAAGTACAGGAGAATCCCAATGTCTATCCTGGAACATGCCTATGGCAAGTTACTAAAGAGTTAAATTTTAGTAAATGACTACTAATCATCACTTCGCGGGAATCGAGGATTCAATCAGTATCAAATTATTAAATTCATTGTAGTTACAACGTAGTAAGTATGCTTATCAATATGACGTCAGTTTGGGCATGGCACCTAAAATGTGAGCCGAACCGATGTCATGACCAGGTACTTGCCTAATAGGTATCATGTCACTTTCCCATCATCCTCCAATGTCTGCCTAAGTGGGATTGTGCTCTCCGCCTGCCCCCCGTTAGCCTCAACGTCTACCACTTTTATCCCGTTAAAGCTAGACAAGTTTCGCCCTTTTGCTTAAGCTTCCTCGCAGTATCCAGCAAAAGCTGGTGCCGGTGTTGTTGTTTTGTTGTGATGTCGACACTTACGCCCACCACCAAGAAACGCACCACTCGTGCCTCCACTAAAGACAAATCAGCCTCCACGGGGCCTGCAGACGAGCTCTGCGACCCAGAGCGGCACAAAATAATCGCCCAGCTGTCAGACTATATCGGAGATCGGAAACTTGCTTCGACGGGATGGGCCCTCCTTTGGTTTACGGATCTCGCGATCCTGAGGAAATATCTCAAAATGTGTGAAGATGAGCCAGGGCAAGCTATTGTGGCTAACATCTTTGGTCGGAGTGAAACGATTAAGGATATAATCATGTCCTGTAAGCGATTTAATCGGTCATACAAGTAGGTACGAGCTAATGCAACACCAGGGAAGTGTCGGCATAGAGCCTCATGGTCTTCTGAAGAGGGCCCAGAAGAACCGGATATCGAAGAAACCCCCAAAAAGCGCAAGCGTACTTTGAAAACCGCGTCGAAAATTCCCACACTTGCTGGCAAACCTCTTTCTGCGGCAGAAGGTTCTCAAGTAGAAACGAAGCAGCCGACTGGCCGTAGCGAAGCAGCCAAGACACTAGTGAGTTCAATTTACCTACCTAATGATATAACTGTGTCAGTTTCTCACCTACCTATCAAAGTGCAAGGAACGAGATCATCACGCTTGTATTCTCACCGGGTACCGTGAACCGCTAGAAGTAGCGCATATCTTCCCCTACAGCCTCGGCCAGAGGACAAAAACAGAACTCGATATTTTCTGGCAAAATTTGACAATGTACTGGAGTAGAAAAGATCAACAAGTGGAAGGAACAGGTCTTAGGCCCAGGTGGAACTGAGATCTGTCCAAACTTGATGTGCATGTCCAACCTCGCCCATAAACTCTGGAAAACAGCGCGGTTTGCCCTAAAACCGTTGTCTATAAGCGATGATCAGATGGTTCTTGAGGTAAAGTTCTACTGGATGCCGATAAACAAGTTCTCGCACAATATGTCGTCAAAAACAGTCCCGAGTCCTTTCCCTGATGACCACCTGTCCTCCATTAAGGTGGATGGCAAACACAATGCGAAGCTTTTCAATATTGACGAAGATAAAGCACTGCTCTCCGGAGACGTTCTTACTTTTAAGACCGATGACCCAGTCGGTCATCCCCTCCCATCGGTGGAGCTACTAAATATGCAATGGGCTCTCCATCGAGTTCTTGCTCTTAGTGGTGCCGCCGATGCAACCGATGAAGATCTTGATCCCGACTCAGATAAGCTGCTCTGGGGGCGGGACACGTGGGAGATGAATCTAGAGGCAACTGACGAGGACGTTGAGGAAGAAATGGTGGACGAAATGGAGAAAGAAGAGGAACTACTGAGTGGCCCTGATGAAGAATTTTGGGACGAAGTGGTCGTGGAGGCCCCCAGATTTAGGGGTCGGACAAATCCTTCTACCGACGAGATCTCCCCAAGCCGCGAAAATCGTCCGGGGTCCAGTCTGCCCAGATCCAGATATGTTCACCATAAGGATAAAGGGGAGAAGTTGAGGCAGGGGGAGCAGCCGGAGCAGCCGGAGCAAGAAAGCTCACTTGTTTTGAGATGCCGGGGTACCAATATTCATTAGATGGGTGTCTCTTCAGATGCGTAGCTACATAATTTCACTAATACAGTTAGGCTTCTTTAAGCGGTATACAACATAATTCAAAACCACCAAAGAGGTAGGTGTACGCACAACCATGGTCCTTTCCGCCGTCACCGACAGTTACTCTGTACTTGTCTAGGTATCTGTTGCGGGCCATCAGTACTTTGTCAACTTACCCCATATTTCCAACTGCGGTCGTAGTTCCTTATTTGGAATATAGACAAGGTTCAGCGTGATAATCGGCTATCTGATCAAGATGATGAAGAGCAATAATGTCAGTCAATCAATGACCAGTTGGGACATTATTGCAATAGTCGTGTCATTCCCAAGCTAGTACGGACCTTGGTTGCTACGGAAAGGGGCAAGGCGGGACTGCCAATTCCAACAACCCAAAACAGCAAGCTCAACGGTTCTCAGCATTTTAGCTAGAGTCCAAGAGTGGTGTAGTTTGATGATTCTAACCGTATGCACGGAGTAAGGTATTTTTGTTTCCCTCTGTTCTTTTATTCCGTCTTGCATCAATCAGGTGACATTGGTGTTGTATTGATGGGGTACCTGACATAATTATTGACCGCTGCAGAAACTCACTTACTGAGAGGGACAGGCGTGACAGCTTGCTGGAACTACTACAGACAGAGAGCCAGAGAGATAGAGACGCATATGGCCGTATGCAGCGCTAAGGGGCTACATACATAAGTTCGTGGTACCGATCTCCAACAAGCTCCCGTAGCCGACAGAACCATGGTACCATCCCGACGGGACTTCTAGAATCATTCTGGAAGTCTGGAATCCAGAGTCGCTGGCTGAAGCTGTCCGTCAGGGAGATCGACAGAATACATAAGCGGTCAGCCACAATGGTCGCTGTAGAGTGAGGCTGCAGGTTGTCGGAAGGTACGGATGATTTCTTTGACACTTAGCAGTTAGCTTTAGGCCAGTTTGCAACATTATGAATGAGCATGGATGACCGTGTTCGATCAATTCAACACATCATTCAACCAGAGATTTCACGGGTCGCGTCAGTGTCTCGTATTTGATCGAGGTCAAAAGTACGAAGCTTAGTTTAACTGGTAATGTCTCCAGATCATCTCTATCACCCTCGTGGTCTATCTGTCATAGATGTGATCGTCTACGAGTCCTCCGATGAAAGGCCAAGAGAGGAAAATACGATCCTGCTAGCTATCTTCTAACTTTCCCTTAATGAGCCGTGTTGGAGCATCGAAGTCCATTAAAGAACAGTCTAGGCAATCTGGAGCATTTTCTTCTCTGACCTGTTCATCCGACCCAACGCGCTTACTGGCAGACACAGGGAAGCACCAAGGATACGGAGTAGACTCTGGTGGATTCCTTCGGTGACGCGGGAGCAAATCGCTCTGGAACCTGGCTGACTTGTGGCTGGGTAGTTGAGCTGGACAGCCTGGACTCCGTACAGAAAACGGATACGTACACTGTAGATACCTCAATGTGAGCCCTCATGCAGCGCAGGATGGTACAGGTACAGTATAGACAGTACCGTATAAGCCTAGAATGGAAGGATCCCATCCTTCTGCCGCGGCTCTCGGTTTTCCCTCCGCCCCATAGTGGCGAATGGCGAGGCTCAGCTGGAAGCTGTGTAGAAGGCCATGTGGTGGAGAAGAAGATGACCGATTTAGGTACTTTAACGCGCTTGATGTATGATTGGCTGAACGCCGGGAAACCACACATGTCCGGTGTCCAGGGATCTTGAACCTTTTAAGGGGGAAGGCGTCAAGTCTGACAGAACAGTCCCACTTCCTGAGCGGAACCGTTGGATAAGGCGTTCTAGAAGTCGTACTCCGTGGCCTGTACTCTGTAGGGTTTGAGTCCTCATACTAGGCTCTACTGGTAACCATCAGTCCACCAGAAATTGATTGCTAGTCTGTAAGTCGTATGTTTTCTGAGAGGGTCCCGCGGCCACGCGGGTACAGACAGTAGGGCAAGACGCTAGAACGACTAGAAGAACGCGAGAAGAATGCTAGTTGCATCGAATACGTAGGCTAGTCCAACGGGGGCGGGAAATCAGACGGAGAGGATTGGTTAGTTCTTACACTGTGCCTTCCTACGTTAGGTGGCCCCACTGCCCCTTTCGTCGACTAGTCCGATTTCCCCGGCGACCAGGAGTAACAACCACAATCGGCAGTGTCAACTTGACACAGACTAGAAAAGACATAAAAGAATACAAGACATCTATGTATCATATCAACATGATGCTCTCATTCGATACGTCGACATAAATACCAAGGGAATCCTGGAACATGTCAGAGCACAGGAAAGTCTGGAAAATGTTCAACGATCAGTCTGACCTGACGTTTGACTCAATCAGGAGAAGTGGACCAAACTAGGGGAAGAATCCCGAATCAATAGTCGCCCATCATGGTGGACTTCCCGAGACTAAGTAGCTAGGCAGAAGGGCGGGAAGCTTCTGGATTGGTTCTATTTATCCACTTTACGGCTGTTGACTTTTAGTGGCCTCAAAGGGTTAAGATCAGCCATGGAAGCCCTGTTTTTACAGAGTCTATGGTATGCCATCATCAAGGAAAATTGAGAGACTGATATATTGCGCCGGAATATGCAGGATAAGCTAAGCGACAATTACACAGATCTCCCAGGCCATTGAGCATTCTCATGCATGGGATAGCTTATTTCAACCAAGGCTTGACTGGCAGGATTCTTGTCCTGTAAAGATATCAAGAAGCTCAATGGTTCCTTATCATATCGTGCATTCACCCAACAAAAGGACAACAATTAAGTTCGCTTTGAGTCACTGACAGTACAATAATTTACTTGGAAAATTAGGAGTTTCAACCCAGAACACCCGCCTGGAGCGATCATACTGAACACGGTTAGAAGCAGGAGGATAGCTGGAAAATTCAAGGGTAGGGCTTCCGGGGATCACAAGGTCATTCCGGTAGTACGTACTCCGTACTGTAGATAATTAGGTGCTACGGGTATTAGTCAATAATAACTAATTGACTAGCACCCTCAGCCGTTTCCGCCTCACAGGAAAACCACGCGACAGAATCGGACGTAATGGGGATGAGATCATGAGCCTAGATAGGCGGAGTAACTTTGGGTTGAATTCGGATCCATCCGTTCTGTTCCTGGTGGGTGACTGGGTGCCTGGGTCCCCACCCAAATGCATATACCCAGTCCGTCGTGTCCGAAGAATCGGTTCCTGCTTTCTAGCTTTCTTCCAAGTGGAGAGCTGGAATTTTCTTTGCCTTTTCTGTCCTGGATCTGTCCAGCTTTTCTGCTACAAGTCGTTTTGTCTCATCTTTTCGGATATTCATCGGGTCTGCAATAATAACGCCTCACGGAAAGGTACTTCAACTCTGAGTACCTAAGGTACTAAGCACTGGGATTGATTGGTTGCTTGATGGCTGGGTACGGGATTGCGTGAGATAGCTTACACACGTCATTCTGAATCAGGAGGAACGGGTTCATCCTTGCTAGTGGTCTCTGGCTTACCTCCGAGGTCCAACAGAATGATTTGAAAAAACTGTAGCCGGCAGAAAGAAAGTGACAGGTGATGGATAAAAGTACAGTTACTCACTGTCAGCAGGTGGGATAGCTCTAACAAAGAGAAGAAGGGTGGTTGGGTGGACGAGGCCTTAATAAATAAGGAACAAAACGCTATTAGCAATGTTTCGAGAACAGAAACTAATAAAGTCAAATAAAACCAGCCAGGAACACCCAGGAATAGCCAGCTTCACATGAATATTATCCTTATTAGAACTTTAATAGCCTTCAGATTCTCTGACTCTCAGAGCCAGAACCTTGGGACCGGAGCAAGTCAGTACCTCAGGTAGTTTAGTACTCCGTCCTCCGTACTGTATCCGCAAGTAGGTAAAACCCCTAAGAAAGGGGGATGCGCATCCACTGCGTCGCGTACCTCTCCCCCGGGACAAGGGAACGGGGAGAGCCGCTAACAACAGAAGCTCCCCCTAATGATCTGACTTTTTGGGCCAGTCTCTCCTGGATCCGATATTGTTTTCTTTTTCTCGTCATATTATTTTATTTTTATTTATTTTTTGGTATTGTTAATTATCTTTTTTTTTTTTTATTTTCATCATCATTATTATTTTCTCTTCGATTTTTCTTTTTCCCTTTATAACATTCTTAATTTGAGATTATGTTTTATCCTTCTCAGATCTTGGGGGAAAACTAATTGGAAAAAAAAGAAGATAAATAAAAATAATATTGGCCCTGAGGTATCAACTAGGAGTGAATACTATCCATAGTGCCATCGTCCATACCTAATTTACAACACCTATATATCTCTACGATGGACCCCCTTCAAGCTTGCTAGTGAATTCTTCATTCATTCCTCAACCACTCTCGCCCTGTCCTCTTCCTCCTTCTCCTCCCCTTCTGTCACCTTATTCTCATACGTTCCGTGCTCCCTCTCATTCCCTTCGGTGCTTCCCACCACTCGCAATCCTATCATCATCCCCTTTCGGTGACGTTACCAAAGCGCCTTTCTCCCTCCCTTGCGATACGTCCAATTGTGTTTTCTTTTTTCCAGCGGATCAGACGGAGCTACTTCCGCGCCACTATTATACTCCTTTGTTCGAGAGATCGACCTCCCTGCCGTCTGTTGCATTAGTCTATCCCATTTCGTCGGGCAGATTGCGCTTGGATCGAGACTTGCATTTCACGACTGCTGCAACAATTCGGACTTCAGAAAGGGGGAAAGCAAAATAAAAGAAGGAAATTAAGCAAAGGTCCTTTTAACATCGGATAAAGAACGCTGCAGAAGCCTCAGCAAAAGGGAAAAGGAAGGATAAACACTGGACCTGTCGATTTGATTTCGGGCTCCACCTGGCCTCCATTCTTACAGTCCATTTTCTCGGATCATTCAGCGTCACATTCCTGCCCTACAGATCGTCTTTTCGCCGCTGCTGGTGCTTGCTGCATCAACAAGTTACAATACCCTCTTTCCCAGCTTCAGCGCTGTGGATATCCTT